GCTGCTTGGAGAATATCGTGATTAACAAGTTTGTAAGAGTTTCATTATATATTAGTAGTATTCCTCCAGCAGCTGTGCTTTCTTAAAGGACAATTAAGATTATCATCAATTCTTCCTGTTACTAGTCCAGCAGACAACCTCAGAAAGAGGTGACATAAGGGTTTCTTTCTGCAGAAACACTGCAGGAACTTACTGGACAATGTAATTATTATTTATACTACAGTAGTACGCAGGTGCCACCCCCCAGACTGTACTGTAGGATTCAGAATGAACCAAAAATGGGACTCATCCCTAACAGCCAAGAATCTAGTAAGCTGCAACAAATGTAAACTAACAAATAAAGAGACAAACACGATACGCTCACGTTGACCTAACTCACTAGCAAGTTCTTTTTGAGAAAAGGATGTGAAAGAGTGGCATTACAGTGGCAATTCCTTTGCAGCGTGGGAGAAGTAAGAAAATGATGATGCTTTCAAATCATAATGTGTGGGAACATAGAGATTAGGGAAAGATGCAAGACAGAAATAATCATGTCAATAGGAAATGACACAGAAGAATAAGGCAAAGTCCAGGCAATCCTTGGAACTGAAATGAGTAGTCGATCTTTGATCTAGCAGATAGGGTGTTATGGTCACAAAAATGAGGAAAATACAAAAGGCTGCCCTTATTCAAGCAGGAACTGACACACAAAATGATGGGTCTAAGAAATGTACATTAGATTATATGAAATAAATGTGCAAGAACTAGATGTTGTAGATGCAGCGATTTTAAATTACAATCTCAAAGTACTGTGAGCCCTATACATGTTGTACTGTTCAGTTCAGCAACATCCCTTTGCTCTCTATCAACCTCAAGAAGCACAAGTATTGTGCAAATGTTAAATGTAAAGCTATATGATTTAAAGCTAATTTTGCTCTCTTGCAACTCAATAGGAACACACTTAGGCATCCTGGTGTGAGCTATATCCATTACTAAGTATTATCAGTATACAGTGGTGATATATATGCTTTTTAGACATACATTTTAAAAAGTCAAAATTGCAGTCAATGAGTTTAAATGCTTAAGTCCATTAAGGTAGCCTCTAGATAACCATTTCATACTGGTGCAGTTTATAGTCATATAATCCACATCACTAAATAACAGTTCTGTATCATGGTAGGCAAAGAGGAAGAGTCCTCAAAATATATTTTGTATTGATCCTTGACATCCCTTCCAGCATGGTATTCTATGATTCTATAACCTCTGACCAGTTTTTGCTACTGGTTTCATTTAGTCTCTCAGATACATTCAGATTGCAGAATGCTGTGACTCTCAGTCCAGCACACCTAACTTTAGTCCTATAAGACATTTATGTCCTAGAGTTTGGATGCGAGATTGCTTTTGGAGTTGATGGTCTGAAAGCCAGGCAAAGAAAAAAAAAAAAAAAAGAAAAGAAGAAGAAGAAAAAAAACCCACTAATAGATTTCTTAAAAAATAAACACTGTTGTTTTCTAATTGAGGACTATACCTTTTTCAATGTTGAGAATCTATTTTCTGAGGGAAACAATATCTATCATCATGGACTCCTCATTTCAGAGTTTCCTCTAGACACATTTTAACAGATGTCTTTTTGCAGACTCCAGCTTTTCAGATTCTTTTGGAAGTGAAACTGAAGCTAATGTGAATCAAATATTGTTTAAGTACAGTTTACTGTTCTAAAGCCCAAATCATTTTATTAACTGTGAATACGGAGTCCCTCAATATCCTACTCGGCTGGCAAATGCTAACACTAAAGAATGTCCCAGTGAATGTTGATAATTAAACTTTTTAATAATAAAGACAACCTTTTTTGGGAAAGTATAAAAAACTAACACAATAATCTGATTTACTTTATTACATTAGAATGCATAATTCAGATTTAGATAGACGGGCAGAACCTATGACCATAGAATTAGCTAGGTTGGAAAAGATTGTTAAGAGCATCAGGTCCCCCAGGACTGCCAAGTCCACCATTAAATCATGTTACTAAGGGCCTCATCTGTACAGTTCTTGAACACTACAGGAATGGGGACTCCAGCACTGCCCTGGGCAGCCTGTTCCAATGCCCGACAACCCTTTTGGTGAAGAAACTTTTCCTAATATCCAATCTAAAGTTCCCCTGGCACACCTTGAGGCCGTTACCTCTTTGTCCTATCACTTGTTACTTAGGAGAAGAGACCAGCCACCCCCTCAGCTGGTTGTAAAGTCTTGAATTAAGAACAGCATTAATAATCTATGTACACCACCATACACACTGCAACTATGCAGAAAGTCCAGAATCCATCTGCATTGTGCCGGACTGTTCTACCTATACATCACCAAAACCAAGTAATCTAAAAAGGAAACCTAAATATTTTCTTTTTCTTTCTGTAACTCAATATGATCCAAGCTTTATATCCAGTAATTAGCAGCAAACTCAGTAACACAGATAGTAAAAACACAGCTAGTTTTATACTTCAAGGAGTTTGTATTACTTAGGAGCGTAAAATTAAGCCTTTGTACAAATTGCATTACTACAGTCTCAGTTACAAGTTTGCTTTTCATTAGCTCTGCTCAACTATTCACCAGGTTGCTAGTTTGCATGTCAACTATTACTATTCTGAAATGCATTTCCATGGTAGAAAAAGCTCAAGTACGAAAACAAATGTTAAATTGCTCAGTGAATACGGAAAAGTTAATGAGGCTGTTGTTAGAAGGTACAACAGAAACACCATTAATTTCCCAACTGACCTACGGTTCATAGGCTTCAGAAAAGGACTATGGTTAGCCTAACCACTTTACTTTTATAACAAACCATTATAATATACAGGCTCCATCCCCCCTCAAGTTTGGCAAGATGAAAAGATATCCAGGTAGAGAGAGGAAACAATGTTTTCTTAGAAGAAATGGCCTGCTCAGCAGAAGAAGCAGCTGAGAGAAAAAAAACATAATACGGCTGAACATAAATATTCTAAAGAAGAAAAATCCTGGATTTTTATTTTTCCTTTCTTTTTAATTAGGCTTTTAGAGAGCTCTGACCTCAGAACACAGCATGGCAAAACTGGCAAGAATGTGACAGTAGGGTAATGCACTATTTTATCTATTTCCCATATCAGCCAAAGCAAAGAGTGAGCTACCTTTGAACTCTTGCTACATATGTGCATCTGTTTTCCTTCATCTAACAACCCTTTCTGAGAAGCGCATTGTAAATGCTGAATGCACCAAGCTGTGAAAAAGGGTAAGCATCATACCCCAGTGATCCCAGCACTTCACAGGACCTGGGATACAATACTGCAACTTGCTTAAGAAACAGCAATGAGAACCTATGCTTAAGAACTCTGTGCTAAAGAAGCAAGGAAAGATGCACTGTAACAACAGCAGAGATAATCCGTGTCCTGAATTGGACTACCTGTTGGTTATTTTGAGAAGTCTTTCCATCATAGCATGAAGCTCAGAGCTGGATTCTCAGCAGGGCACATTATTATATGATACACTCAAGCTGCTACTGTATGTGCCATATCAGCTTATAACCAGCTTACTTTCTACACAGAAATCCAACTAAATGTAAACCAGAAAGTTCACTCTTCAATATACAGTATGAATGCACGCACCTAATTACATATGTGGTATTTAAACCACATTTAGGAAATAACTTCTTATTTATCACTTAGCCCCTGGTCCACCAGAATCTAAATTTGATTCTAAACGAACTGTACCAGTGTTAAGCCTGTGCCTGACTTAATTTAGGAAAGGAATGCTACAACTGAATGGTTTAAGATGAAGACCTCATCTAGGGAGGCAAATGAAAGGCTGCCAAAATGTACTAATATTTAGGTTTACCAAAACTGGGGCATTAGATGCTAAGTGTGACAGTTAGTGTATGGTACAGTGGGCCTTTAAGAGCAAATCCAAACCACATTATTCACTATTTCAAGTTGGCGACAGTGGATTCCAGCAAACCATCAATCAGTAATACGTCCTTCATCAGTCACACAAGAAACTCAAATACTTCCTAGAGCGCCTCCTACTTTGCGGCATTGCCTACACATTTCAAGCACTGTAACAAGTCAAGTCCCCTGCATGTTTACAGGACACGTGTCACCACTCCCGATATGTGCAGCAAACTCCTAGGTAATGGAAACTGGAAACTGACCTATGACTTACCACGTTTGTACTTGTGACTTCTGAAGAGCTGGCACAAAACAGGGTCAGGCATATGTCACTAACGAGGTACGCCTGACTGATGACCTACCACCAGTACAATGTGTGTTGCACAGAGGCCACCTATAGCCCCTCGAGGTAAAACACCTCGCTTGTCAAACGCTGGAGCCTACATAAGAGTACTTCTGAGGACGTCGGGGGCGATACAAGAGGAGGCTGCTGGCTGCGGGAGGTAGCTTGTGGGGGAACCCCATGAGCGCCCACAGAAGAAAGGCTGGAGCCTGCAGAGCGCCTGCCCTGCCACGGTGAGCCGGGGAACCCGCGGTCTGCCGACACCCTGCAAAGCCGCCTCGACGGGACCCGCACCCAGCTGGCGAGGCTGGGCAGGACCCGCGGTGTCCTCCGGCCGCTCCCGGCACGTACCCGCGGCCGCCCCCAGCCTCACACCCGCCCCGACCAGCAAGGAGCCCCCCTACGCTGCTGCGCTCGTGAGGGGCTTCCATTGGCCGGCAGGCAGAGGTTCCCGCGCCGTCACTGGAGTATGCAAATGCCCGCCCACCCCATTGGCTCCCCCGCCCGCGGCGGCGCCAAACAACATTTGCATGGCTGCGGACAGCTCTTTTGTTGTCAACCGCGGCGGGCGGTGCGCGCGCGCTCGGGGCGGTGGGCGGGCGCGCGCGCGCGCCGCCGAGGCCGCCGCCCGCCGGCACCTGCTTTCCCTCGAGGCGGGTCGCGCGGGGCTCACCTCCCGTCCCCCCCGCCACGCGTAACTTTGAACGCGGGGGGACCGTTAAGCGCGAGCTGGCCCCGCAAGTCCCCTCAGACGCCGGCAGCTCCCCCCGGCTTCCCCTTCATCCCGCCCCGCTCCGGCGGGAGGCGGTGGGGCTGAGCGCCCCTCCTCCGGGCAGGATGGTGGACCTGGACAGCGAGGTGCCCCCGCTCCCGCCCCGGTACCGCTTTCGGGACTTGCTGCTGGGCGACCAGGGCTGGCAGAGCGACGATAGGTGAGTGTGTGCGCCGTCCGGCCGCGGGGGTAAGCCCGGGGGTGCCCGTCTGAGAGGGGTGGCTCGGCGGAGCGCGGCCCTGCTGCCGGTGGGTCAGCGCCCTGGGACGGCACGCACCGCCCGGCGGAGGCCAGCCCCGGTGGAAAACTTTCCCGGGAAAGGGATGCCAGGGCCGGCGGGGGGGCTGCGCTGCCCCGCCCCGCCGCCGCCCACCGAGGCGCTGGGCATCCCGTTGCCTTCGGGGCACCGCCGCCTCTGCAGAAGCACCTTTCTCTATACCCTGCGACAGCGGTAGGAGGAACAGTAGGACAGGTGCGGTACTGTTTCCCGATGCTAACGTGCACTGAGGGGAAGCCCCACGCAAAATACGCTTTTGCCGCTCGTCGGAAAGCCAGCTGCCGAGGGCTCTGGATGTTTTCCTGACCCGGTGTGCATTCTCCTTTACATGCAGTTTCTTTTCGTGTGAGGACCCTAGCCTGTGATGTAACTACCATTAGTTTATTCCTTTATGAATTATTTCAAGGACTGTCAGCATCTTTAATTACAAACAGATAGGAAAAGGTATTTGTCTCAAGTCAAGTAATGTTTCTAAAAGAGGAAAGAAAGCCCAAACAAAACCTTATATCAAAATAAACAAACGAACCAGGAATGCATGTTTAATTCAGAAAAGCTAAATGAATAGTATTCATGAGCACAGACATGATCACGCCGCTCTAACCATTCAGTTTGGTGTGTCTGTAGATTATTGCACGATCCCATCTTGCAAAATTATGTGTGAGATCCACTGTGTAGCAGTAATTTATTATGGTCAAATGACAGGTAAGCAAAATTGTCTGGTACTGTATGAGGGTGTATTGGATTGATTTTAATTCAGTGTCTTTACATTGTCAGAACGAGTCTTCAGCTCAGCAGTCAGAAACTTTGTTTTTAAAGCTGGACTGCATAGTTTAGATTTTAGCTCCTTTCCTAAAGAAAGACGGATTCTCGGTGATGGTGCAATCACAAGATCATGCAGATATGTAACTAATTATTACCTTTTTTTTTAGGGTAATATGCTATACATTGAAGCAATTAAATGTTTATTCAGACAGTTATGACATGGTGAATGCCAAGACAGTCACAAAAAATGAATGCTGTTGGTTGGAAATGACAGCACTGTAACGACATAATGGAGACTTAAGATCTTAGAATCTCATTTCTCCTGCAATAGGTTAAAAAACGTGCAACCTTTCTTATTTTATCAACTTCATCTAGCTAGAGTTTTAATGGTTAAAATAAACAAAATATTCTCTGTATATCTCTTTGGACCACTCTGTGACTTAATGCTTTTTTCAGCTCTAGTTTAAACGTCTGTCAAGTGCTTCCCTGATACCAGCTGTGTGACTTGAACTTTATGGAGTTACCTTCTATGGAAAAAGTGTTATCTGGTCTCAAATAGGAAATAGTCTATAAGCAACTGCATAAACCATAACATCCATTTAGCTGTGCAATTGTCTATTTCATGTCTGTGTGCACTTAACAAAGTGAAAATAAATAATCTTTAAAAAAAACCCACCTTATAGCAGAATTCTAGCTAACAGTATTTTAGAGCAGTTGTTGATTAAAATTGTAGCAAAGGACTGCTAGAAAATGAATAGTTACTTTTAATTATTTAATATTCATACAAGCAAGATCTCTGGCACATCTGAAATATAAAGTACTAACCTAGGACTGGAAATGGCTAGTGGAAATGGCTTTCAAGATCTTCAGGTATTGTCCCATGCTGCGGCTGCACAGCTGCACTGTAGCAGGAAGGCTGTGGGTTACTATCCCCACAATACCACTAGGATTGTGCTTTACATTAGGTTGTGACAGCAGCACTCTCTCCTCCAGCTCTGCAAGTTGCCATAGCAGTCTTGTTTGATACGAGCTTTCCAGTAACTGAACAAAGTCCATTTTTAAAAATCTTGAGTATTGTCTTTTTTTGTCCGCCTTACAATAAGGTTCTGTCCAGATTCTCGTTGTTCATTACTAGAGGATATCACTTTTATTACTGAAATACTAATCCAATCCCTTGTTGCTGGTATTTTGCTACTCTCTATTATAGAAAAAGGATACGTATTCTGCATAGAAATACTGTCAAATGGAATATTTAGAGTATTAGACATACATTCAGAAAATACTTAATGAGAAAGACTGCAGACCTGCGGGGACCCTGAGGTCAGTTGCTTATTAGTTATTAATGATTAGTATGACACAAGTATATCCTATTTTTAGTTGTTTACTTTTTTGTCTTTTCTTTGTCTCCTTTCATAAGTGGTTCAAGTTTGGTTTTGGTGAAGCGTATCTTTTGTACTCTATTCTAATTAGTTTGCAATGTAAATATTGCCAAAGGTGTTGCTTGTAACCCCTTCAGCTGAATGGACATTAACTATGAATGGAATATCTGAACACTAAAGTACAGTTAAGTAGCCTTATAGAATGGCTACAAAATGGCAAGTGATCAAGGCAGTTCATTTTAGGAAGTTATTGGCCCTGGCTGAGATACGGTGAGCTGGAAACAGCCAGACAGAGCCTTCAGCAATATGATCTAGCATGAGGCATCCCTGCCCATGGCAGGGGGTTGGAGCTAGGTGATCTTAAAGTCCTTTCCAACCCTACCATTCTATGATTCTAAGAAAATTATTTCCAGCAACTACGTAGTTCTATTTGCTTTCGACTCTGGAAGTCTGATCTGTATAAGGGGTTTTCCATCTCTGTGATCTGTGAATTTCAGGTCTGTTACCAGCTGAATGCTTTATCTTCTATCTTAGTCCTATTCCCTTTTTGATCTTCTCAGTCTGTTCATCCTTGAAGTCTCTCTTTTCTCCTTCCATTCTGCCCTTTCTGGAAAGATGCTCACTTTTTGCTGTCTGGGAGGCATATGTTCCATCTCTGTGTTTCAGATAATTGTCGATTCTTCAAAGTGGAGAGGAGATGGAATTATTCCTCTCTTCTTCTACAAACTACTCATGATTCTTTGTCACTAAATCACAGTTTTAATAGCATAGTTTGCCAGTACGTAATGTGATAGTATTTAATAACAAATATGATTGATATGATTGAAAGGATACAGACGTCTCTTCTTTTTTTCCTTTTCCTTATTTCTGACATAAGCATTGTACCCAGTTTTGAAACCTGACTGGTTATGTTTCTTTAGGAGAAGAGTTTGATCAGCTATTTTTTTTTAAATGATCCTGTCCATTTATAAAATGTAGACATGCTAAAATGCTTGCCTGAATGTAAGAGGACTAGGATTCAGAACTTTTGTTCTTAGATATAAATTGTTTGGAAATGGTTTCTAATCTTTTTTTTTTTATTTTCTCAAGGACTTCTGTGGTGGAGCATCACTTGGGCTTCTTTTGGGGTTTTTTGTATGTCTAACTCGCAGTCCATTTTTTACCTGTACTTCTTCAGGACAGTAACATCCATCTCGCTGCTTTTGCATTTCTCTCCCAGAAAAATAATTCTACTTGCATAGCTTAGATTCCTAACCACCCTTGCAGTTGGCTTCAGTAAGAGGTGGGTTCTGGGCTGTCATATTCCACAAACCACCAAATTGGATTGCATATTATTTTTCATAAAAGAAGTTGCTGTGGGCAGAAGAACATGGTGAATCTTTGGCAAATGCATTTGTTCGGTAAATACACTATTTTTAATAATTATCTGTCTTGAATTTGCTGAGTGCTTTTTTCCTGAAAAAAAAATGGATGTAAAAACCAGTTTTTTATTTTGAAGGGCTAGATTTTCAAAGGACATGGCCCCCTTGAAAACTATGGAGGTGAAGCTTGATGCTTCCAGTACACACATTTTATACTGAATATATATTTGAAAAGCTTCCTTAGGACAACATGTAAAAGATCCACCCACAAGCTAGAGTGTATGCATGTCAAGTGGGTGAATTCTTTGGAAGGCAGGGTAATGTAAAAGGTTTCTTCTGGTGTGTAAATATTCCAGTCACTGGGCTAAGGGTTAAGAGGAGATTGAGTCATCTTCTTTTTCACTAAATTTGTAAATATCACTAATATCCTTTTGCGACTCTCACATTTTACTTTCATTATTGAAAGTATCTGAAATTGAAATAATCTGTTTTGATTTGCCAGATAGTCTGAGATGTTTCTTGACCATTATAATGCAATTTGTCTTTCAGTACTGAGGAAGGGAGCAGAAATAAAGGGAGAACTTGGTTAACACAACAAGTTACATGTTAATACAGTGAGATTCACTGTATTGTATCAGTTATTGTAATAGTAATATACAATGGTAATCATTATTGTAAAAGTAAATTATGTAATAAAACATTTCATAAATCTACTGATCCTCAATCCATAGTCTTATCAGCTGTGTTGAAGAGCATAAGAAATAAAAGTAGAAAATATCCTACTTTGTGAAGACCTGATATGTTTAAACCTTGTAAATTTGCTTCGGAGGAGGGGTGAAAAGAGGATATTTCCCATGTAAGCTTTGGAAAGTTACAATGAAGAGGTTATTCACAAAAAATACTTTCCTGTGTGTATATATATATATATAGTTACCATGTACTTCAAAATAACTAAACCACAAGACACTGGAGGTGTAAAGAAAAAAATCCGTTAAAAATAGAAAAGCATTTACGTGCTGTTGGTAGCACTGCTTTTTTAGTAAGGTCAGTCATATGAATTCAGTGACTGAGTATGTTGCAGATCACACTTTACCTCACATTCCTTAAACCATTTATATAAAGACATCTAGTTCATTCTTTAGAAGCTTACGAAGATACAAGAGCTGTATTTGTTTTAGGAAATTCAAACAAGCCAGGAAAGTTTTCCACCACTGAAGCATGACCTCTTACACTAGTGAGCTCTTCAAATTTTCGTTTGCGTGCTTTGGCCATAGCTGGCTAGCCAAAACTATGTTGAACAGTGCAGTGCTGTTGTGGTTTAACCCTAACAAACACAGCTGCTCACTTACTCCCCCTTCAGTGGAACGGGGGAGAGAATCGT